ATACGTACATATATATATGTAGTGCAAGTCATATCTCTCCAGGATTCTAACACCGAAGCAACATAAACTTTATTATTCACTAGGCTTTTTACTTAGTAACAATCACTGCAATAGTGAAAGTCAACCTCATTACTTTGCCCAATGATTTTAAGCAACAACATTAATTTACATCGAGCCTTTTCACTTAGTAACAATCACTGCAATAGTGAAAGTCAACCCCACTACTTTGCCCCAGTGTTCGGTGTAAGAATTCGTTTTTTTTTTTTTTTAAAAAAAAATCATTATGTACTATGTTTTTTATGAAGATGACCACCTTATAACTCCAAGTAAAAACGCCACACCCTACCACCCTTCACAACATTTTCTGTCCAAAGGAAACGAACCATATGCTAGCTATCGCTCTACATCATTGTGTGAAGGCAGCTCTTTTTGACAAAAATACATTCGTTCCAAGGTATACAAGAACACGCAATCAATCCCAGACAATCAACATCGCACTGTAGAGTCAGAACACCATTTATGACTTAGTGGTGAATTAAGTGCAGTATGCAAATTATGACTAATGCAATATCCTATGTGCATACACGCAATGTAAGTATAATATATATACTAATATACAATACAATATAATATAATGGCATGCAAGAAATCAGAGAATGCATATCCCTAAGGATTTCCTTAGAGAAATAAATCTTTGAGCATCAAGGTTATGTGCTGGAACATATTTATGAACAATTAATCCATCATCAACCAAATTTCTAGTAAAGTGGCATAGCACGCTAGTATGATTAAGAGAATGTTGAAAATAATATTTGGAAACATTAGCCACATAAGTAAGGTCAAAGAAAAGGTCAATGGCTTGTACCTCAGTTCCAAATTTAAGAAAAATGTGCTTCATCCACACATTTTCTGAACAACAGGTTTCAGCCGCAAGATTCTGATTGGTGTAAGAACATCCGTCAGACGTACTCCATTGATCAACAACATTCTCATCCCTATCAGCATCACAATCTCTAATAATACCAGAACTCGTATCACATGAGTCAAAAGTCATATAATCAATCAAATAGAAATTATCATGCGATCTAGACCCTGTAAGAACACAATTATTATTCCTATCTGAAACCAAACATTCATTCAAGGTGAAACTCACAGAAAAGACTTGATCACATAATTGACTCACACTCAGCAAATTTGCTTTCAAATTTTCAACAAGAAGAACATTTTGAAGTTTGGCAATCCAGGAATATTCAAACATCCTATACCGAGAATTCTATTCTTAACACCATCACCAAAGGTCACAAAACTAGAAGGAACAGGCAAAATATTAATCAAGTTAGATTTTAGACCTGTCATATGACGAGAACAACCACTGTCAAAATACCAATCAGAATTAGAGGTGGATTTCAATGCAAGTATAGAAGATAAGCACACGTTCTTCTCTGCCTTTAGGAACCCAAATCTTTTCTGTTCATGATTAACCACATCAACCTTTAGTTTAGGTGCTTTCAAGGGTACACCATGTGGACTCCATTCATCAATTTGACCAGTATAAATATTATTATGCATCCTATAACACTTAGGGCGAATATGACTACGGATACCACAATAGTGACAAACAGGCACAAAGTTCTTACCAGAGTTCTTATGCTGAGTTTTGGTAGAATTAGGCTTACCATTCTTACTGTAGCCTTCTTTGACAAAAGTCAGGTCAGGCTTACTCAGAGATGTGCTCGGCTCGTCAACTTTACCTTTCAGTTTCTGATTAGGAGCCTTCTTACTCTAGCCTGAGGTACCAATCTGTTGACTCAGCCTCTGAACTTCAGCAAATGAGGATTTGGGCTTGTTGATCATCTTGACAATCTTCTCACTCTTGCTAAGTTTCTCCTCCATTGTAGAACAATAACTCTTGAGCGTTACATGTTCTTCCATCACTCGACCGAGTTCTCTTTTGAGTGCAACAATCTCGGTTTCCCTTTCATCTATAGTTTTCTGCAAGACAAACATTTCATTACGTAGAGACTCAATGATATAAACCTTTTCATCACATACCTGCTTGGACAACTTCTGTTCATGTTCTAACATCGTGATTTTGGCAACAAATTGGTCCAGCTTATGTTCCTCCTTGCTGTTATGAACATCAGATTTGGTCAGCTTATCATTCAGTTCGCCATTCATCATGCGAGTTTTCTGAAGTTCATCCTTCAAGTAGGTGATCTCCTTCTCATGCTCTGCATAACGATGTTGGAACACCTCGACTTGAGCTTGAAGCTTTTTCACCATTTTTCCAGATTTGATGCTCGTCTCTAATGTAAGCTTATGGTAGTCAAATCTACTTCAACAGAACCATCACCAGAATCATCAGAATCACTTTGAGAATTATATGTGTAAGAACACATACCTGAATCAACATCAGAAGGCTTATGAGTGGCTGTAGAACATGTGAAGTCGTTGAGAGAACTGATAGCAAATTGTTCATGTGTTGTTGGTCATCGTTGTCTTCATCATCATCCCACGTGGCTCGATAGGTGTTGTTCTTCCTCCTGAAATTCGGACAGTCTTTCTGAAAGTGTCCAAATCCCTTGCATTCACGGCATTGGTTCTTCTCTAGATCCTGATTCTGAGTCTTTTGGGAAGGTGTGTTGGAACGCTGGTTGTTGTTCTTGAATTTAGATGGCTTTCCCCCTTTGAGTTTTTGAACCTTCTTCAGCAACTCATCAAATTTCTTGGTAAGAACAGTCAGCGCATCATTGAATTCAGAATCTTTGAATTGTTCTCCCTCATCTTCTTCACCATCGGACTGTGTTGGAACACTGGCCTTCAGAACTACGCCTTTGCTTATTCCCATTTTATCGTAACCACGATTGATTTCAAAGGTTCGAAGTTCTCCAAGTAAGTCATCGAGACCAAGAGGCTCGACTCGTTGAAAACTCTCAAGTGCAGTGATCTTTTCACGGAATCATTTGGCAAGGTTCCTCATGATCTTTTGCACTTGCCTCGCCTCAGAAATCTTCTCACCAAGCATGGCACTTTGGTTTACGAGATCACAAAAGCGTGCATAGTACCTATTAATATTTCCATCATCCTTCATGCGAATATTGTCGAACACCGTGGTAATCTTTTGGAGCTTAGAAGACTTCACGGCGTTGGTACCCTCAAATTGCCTCTCGAGAATTTTCCATGCATCACGTGCTGTGGTGCACTGGATGATCATCTTGTGACGAGTTGGGTCAACCGCAGCAATTATTGCTTAAAGAGCACGAAAATTTGCTTCCTCGGCTTGGTTATCCGCAGCAGACCAAATATCTCTCGGTTTTTCAACAAGAACACGAGGACCAACATCAGAGGACGAGGTTCCTTCATTCTTTTTCGAGGGTGCTTTCTCCATCAAAGGTGTTGACCAACCAGTCTCGATAATTTGCCAAGTCCCTTTACCCAAGGACCGTAGAAAGATTGTCATCATGGACTTCCAATATCCATAGTTTGATCCATCAAAGTATGGAGGGCGCGAAACGGACATGCCATCGTGAATTATGGTGACCAACCCAAGGACCCAAAGATCTTTATCCTGTAAGTAGAACAGGAACACTGCTATGGTGCCAATTTAAACGTAGGTATTTTACGAGAGTACGCTCAACGTTGTTAGAACACAAATAAACAACTACAATAGCGGAAGCAATAAACCGAAGATTTAAAAACTCTTCAGGGAAGCGTCCCACCTCCCCTCAGAGCTCTTTCATTGATAACTCAATTGTGCACATGCGTATAGTTTTAGAATTACAGCATATAGAACTCCCTTCTAGTCTAACCAACAACTATACTCGAATCTACCAACTACTTCTCCGGCCATGTCCCGTGGACTTTAACTCTCGAATCCCTCAAGCTAAAAACAGTACTTAATCTCTAAGTACTGATCACAAAAGTGTTTGAATGAAAAACAAAAGAATCAAAACAAAAGACTTCAGTTCTTCAATGTCATAAGAACACTGAAAACTGAACAATGAAAATAAAACCTAAAATGGCTTGAAGCTCGAATAATGAATGGAAGATAATGATTTCAGCAGCCTTGATTCGATCTTCAAGTAGGGTATATATACAACTCCTTAGGCTTGGAGTCTTCTCCAAGTTCTTTCCTTCTTTCACGATCTCCTTTGATCTTCTTCCCAAAAATAGTGTAGTAACATGGAAAGTGATATGTGATTTGGAGATCTTCAGAATTGAGTTTCCAATGAAAATCTCGTGGTTCCAGAATCGTGTAAGAACACAACTTTCCTAAAATAGTCGATCTTCCAAATCTTCAAAGATCTTGTAGTGAATCTTTCCAAATCCTCCTTAGATCTTCTAGAGAACATCCAGAATTCCTTATGCACGAATTGCTCATCCTTTCATAGTCCTTGCCACCTATTCCTTGTCCTACAAGAGAGAAAAAACTAATTATGGCATAGAATCAATCTAATTAATGCATGTGGCATACATGGTAAGTAAATATATAAGATATATATTATGTAATCCTTCTCCTAAAGGTTTAGGACTCCATAATACACATTATAATAAATATATAACATATATTATTAATAATAAATAATAGAAATTTACAAGTAAATAAATAGAAAATTTCTCTTTAATTTATTTTGCTTGCCTAATAAGAAAATCTTCTAGAAAACACTTAAGATTTTTGGATGATGCCAAACCAATATTCTTAGTGTTAATACCATTAAATAGCCATAAAAGTTTACAAAACACAAATTTTAGCCACCTTTTGTAAAAAACCTCTTTTTTAGCCATTTTAGCATGTGTTTTTACTACATTACCCTTAGGTCAATATTACTTTGTTTACACTTTACACAATTTTGTTCCCGAAATTATTTCAAATCGAAAATTTCTTGCGCCGCACCCCCGCTCCTCTGCACTTCATCTTCAAGAATTCATCTCTTCACGAGAAATCGAACACCTCAAGAGACCTCAGGCGACATCACGATCTCACGACCTCAGGCGACCTCATGACCTCACGTGACCTCACAACCTCAGGCGACCTCACGACCTCAGGGGACCTCACAACCTCAGGCTACCTCTCCGTCACGCCGTCTCTTCTGACCGACGCGACCTCGCCGTCACACCATCTTCACGACCTCTACGTCACGCCATCTTCACGACCTCGGTTTGATTTTTTTTGAATTAGGGTTTTTTTTGCCTATTTTTGCCTTTTTTGAATTTGGTTTGTTTATGTGGACTTGTGATTTACAACCTCGCCGTCTCTTGTGATTTGCCTTTATATTGACCTTTCAAATGGGTACATCAATCACCATCATAGGGCGACAACAATTAGTGAATTCGTTGGAAGCATGTAAGGCAATGAATGCGTATATGAACACAACATTGTCATTTGTCTCATAGCATGTGGTGTTTCTAGGATTTCCTCTCATCAACATATGAAAATATCCAGACAAAAGTTCCTAAGATTTATTATGATCTTTGTAAACGAAGTCATACGCGACATTATGAGACTTTTGTGCTTTATTGTATTTGACTTGGTGTACCATTATCACGCTCCTGGTCACTCTTTTATACCTCTAGGGGCTGAGCGACTGAGGTCGAGCATACATGTATGATTGTTGAATTTACATATTTTTCCAATTGACATATTTTTGACATGACAATGTAAAAAAAGAACATGTCTTATACATGCGTCAATGTCTTACATAATAAAACAAATAAAATTTGAACCAGAACCAACTTCTTGGATTGATTTCTGGGTCCATAAATGATTCAAAATTCNGATAGAGGATTTATATATAAACGCACAAATGTGCAAAGTTACAGCCACAAGCTGAATAATACAACCGACGACTGAGAAAACTGGGAGGACAGGTCCGAAGACCGCCTAGATCCGAAAACTAGCAATGCTAGAATATTCGGCAACACACTAAAAACAAACACACAAAACAACAACATAAAAACAACACAAGACCCCCACAGGGTAATTCCCGAGTGTCGGACCCCCACAGAGTAATGAAAATGACACTCGGGTGCACAGAGGCCAACGGCCCAGACCTAAAACACAACAACAAACACAAACACAGATACGAACACACAAGAACAACAAACCAATCTACAACAAAACCAAAAAAGGAAAAACACAGCTAAATAAAAATCCCTTCCACAGCAAGTCAGTCAGCTCGAACCAGCGGAGAACAGTCAATATCAGAGGATAATCCAAGTCCAGGGACGGCTCCCGAAACTGCCACAAGGCCTATACAAGAAGTCGAGCCCGAACACAAACCAGACTCCAAAACGACCCGCCTCAACCGGAAGGACAACCAAACACGCACCCACTCTAGCACCTCCCGAGCACGCCTAACACCACTAGCCGAGCATCGGAGCACCAGATTTCCGCCGTCTAGCACCACTAGACCAAACAGGGGACGGCTCGGGCCCTCAGTTCCGACTCCCGTCAGAGCCCCACCCCGCCTCTCAACCCACTACCCAGCCAATAGAACCGCAGACCACCGACGTCCGGACTCGACAACCCCGAACGGAGATCTGCCGAAAAACAGGACCGCTCGAGGTGGCCCTCCATTCGCGCACAGAATCAGAAATTGAAACAGGAGCGGGAGAAGAAGACGGCATACTCACCTCCAATCGAGACCGGCGGCCAGTCACCTGCAAGCCGATCGACGACCAAGGGGCGCGCTGCCTCCAATCGCTACCACGCCGGCGAACGAAGGGCAATCCAGACCGACATCACAGGCATGCCGCAGCAACACTGGAGGACCGGGACAACAGAGGAGGGGTGGCGGTTGAGCGCGACCACCGGCCGGCGCCGCACTGTTGCCGAGGAAGGCAACTCAAATCGACGAGGGTTTGGTTTTAAGGATTTGGGGATTTTTCTCTCTCTATGTTTAGTACTGCATACTCTAGACCTAGAAACATGTCCATAAATGATTCAAAATTCGTTTTTGGGATTCAAAAAATGATTCAAAAATCGTTTTTGGGTTTTCTGAGATTTAAATCGTTTCTTGGTCCAGAAATCATTTGTGGGATTTCTGGCATTTCTGGGACCAGAAACGATTTCTGCGACCAGAAATCATTTCTTGAATTTCTGGGACGGAAATCGATTTCTGGTCCCAAAAATCGTTTTTCGGATTTTTGGGATTTCTGGGGTTCATAAACGATTTCTGGGCTCCAGAAATGGTCCGGAAACGATTTCTGCGACCAGTAATCATTTCTGGGATTTCTGGCATTTCTGGGACCAAAAACGATTTCTGAGGTCCAGAAACGATTTATGCGACCATAAATCATTTCTTGAATTTCTGGGACCAAAAATCGATTTTCGGTCCCAGAAATCGTTTTTCGAATTTTTGGGATTTCTGGGGTCCATAAACGATTTCTGGCCAGAAATGGGAGACCAGAAATCATTTCTTGGACCAGAAATCATTTCTTGGATTTCTGGCATTTCTGGAACCAGAAACGATTTATGGGGTCCAGAAATCAATTTCCGGTCCCAGAAATCGTTTTTCCGATTTTTGGGGTTTCTGGAGTCCAGAAATTATTTCTGGGCTCCAGAAATGATCATTTCTGAAGCCCAGAAATCGTCTCTAGAGCCCAGAAACGATTTCTGAACCCCAGAAATTGACGATTTCTAATTTTTTTTTTAAGAAAAATAGATAGTAAGGGTATTTTGTTATTTTTACGTGCCAAAATGGCTAAAAAAAATGTTTTTCCAACAACATGGCTAAAATTTATGTTTTACATTTCTACTTGGCTTAAAAAAAAATTCACTGATATTCTTACATTTCTTATCTCCATTGTAAACATTGAGTTCACATTTCTCGAGTAGAATAACAGAGCTTCAGCACCGAATGACAATGCTATCTCCAATGGTAAGGGCCAAACATCACGTATTCTGGCTTTTACATTGCATCGTAGCTTTGCTTTTATTGTTAATTGCAACCAACAGTGTCAAAGAGTTTCTTTAGCACAAAGTCCAAGCAGAAGGTAATACAATTTCATTTTCTTTGTTTAATGACTTCCAGTATAAAATGGTTACATAAATGAATCTTCTAATGTAAAAAGTCCTATTGTGCAAGGAAGTATATGAATTGGTCTAGTCTTCAAGACTTTACTTATCTTCTTGTAAGATAGTATCGTTTTTAGATAGAGTGTCAGAGTTTCGGCCAAGTTAATTGATCTTGTTGTATATAACAAGTGTTGTAATGTTTAACTTGTTATTTTTTACAACCTCTACAGAATTATACTTCGCTCAATGCTGTTACTTCAGTCGTTGATGGTTTAAAAATATTGTACAATGAGAAGCTAAAGCCTGTAGAAGCTACTTACCGGTTCAATGATTTTGTTTCTCCTTTTCTGGTGAGTCATTTGGTTCTTACTCTTTTGTATTTATACCCTTTTACCTAGATTGCTTATTATATACACTCCTTCGAAAAACTTTGAGTCCTAGTATTAATGTAACTATCCTGTTATAGACTAGTAGTGACTTTGATGCAAAACCTATGGTCATGCTTTTGGGTCAATACTCAACCGGGAAAACAACATTTATCAAGCACTTGCTCAAACCCAACTATCCAGGTTTAATTTCTTATATTTCATGATACACAGCGATTATTTCAGTACGAAACATATCTAAAATAGTAATTTTCCTTTTTGTAATTGTTCACTCTTTTTTTCGGTTCTTAGGTGCTCATATTGGACCCGAGCCAACTACTGACCGATTTATTGTTGTCATGGTACAAACATGCATTTTTATTTCTTTACATATTTAATTATTTCTTTATTATAGCCATCTGAGTGTTTTACTTTTTAGTGTTATGATTATCATTCGAGTACTACTTTCATGTCTCCAGTCCGGGCCCGACGAAAGGAGTATTCCTGGCAATACAGTCGCAGTTCAGGCCAACTTGCCATTCACTGGTTTGACTACTTTTGGTGGATCGTTTTTGTCAAAGTTCGAGTGTTCGCAAATGCCACATCCCGTAAGTTAAATTTGTTTTTCTTGGCATGCTATAAGATGATGTGGTTCCTTATGCTAAGCTTTGAAGTTCTGAATTCATTTTTGCCTACAGCTGCTCGAGCATATTACTCTTGTCGACACTCCTGGGGTTTTATCCGGTGAAAAACAACGTACACAAAGAAGCTATGATTTCACAGGTGTCATATCATGGTTTGCTGCAAATGTGATACGATTCTCCTTTTGTTTCATCCACATAAGCTCGATATTAGTGACGAGTTCAAGAAGGTGATTTCGTCACTACGTGGTCATGATGACAAAATAAGAGTTGTTTTGAACAAAGCTGATCAAGTTGACACTCAACAGGCAAGTTTATCATGTATGTGTGTGTGTTTCCTTATGTAATCAGCTGAAAAGGATAAATTGGTTTCGCACATTTTTTTTCTTTCCGTAATGCAGTTGATGAGAGTTTATGGTGCACTAATGTGGTCGCTTTGGAAAAGTCTTGAACACTCCAGAGGTGTCTCGTGTCTATATTGGGTATTTTAAACTTTACTTATACCCCTTATTTATTAAATGCCCTGTTAAGTTTGCAAAAAATTATAAGATGAAAGAATTTGAATTAAAAAAAAAAAAAATTAAAATTATCGTGATTTTGGAGGGTTCAACTAATAAATGCATACATGATCTATAGCCGTGCACGAAGTTGGATTTTCCCTTTCAATAAAGCTTATCTAGTGTTTCCCCAATTATTTGCCAGCCAGAGACTTTCCGGATGTGGAGCAGTTTAGGGAAGTTTTAAATCGTTATAACATTGATGAGTTTGAAAATTTGAAGCCAAAAATGATTCAGGTTGTTGATGACATGCTTGGTGTTCATATTCCTGAGCTGTTGAAAAGCTTTAGGAACATTTATGATTAGAATTGGGAAAGAAACATTTCAAGAAGGCTTGAAAGTTTTGTTATTTTGAGTTTTAGACAAATTTGTTCGAATGACATTTCCTATTTGAATTCTGAGCGTTTGGAAATTCGCTTTATGTAGTCAGGCTTTGAACTCTTGATGGGAATTTTGAGGAAATTCTGCATATGTTTTTTTGACCAGAAATTGGGTAATTCTACCGTCAGGTACCCCTTGTACATGTCTCTACATGCATAACAACATATATCCATTCAAATGATGCCATATATCTTTTTTTTATTAATTAAATAAAAAATTGAAAAAATGTCTTGTGTAAGTACTAAACTATCCTTACTTAAAACAAATTCTAAAATATATTATTTAACTATTAATATATTTATGTAAAAAGTGTCTCATTATTTTTATATCTATATATCTATATATATATAATTGCTGGCTGATAAGTTAATTTTACCTCATAAATAAAACCTATTTAATTTTACCTAGCTGGCACTACCCACATTTTCCCCCCAAAATCGGTTACAAATGAATTATTTATTTTTCATTAATTAGCTTCATATGTATTGAGTGACGCTTTGGTAAGTTTCAATTGAGAAATTGTATGCTATCTTACTGTATTTTATCCCCTAAAATCTAATTTTTTGTTTCCGTTTTAGTTCATTACATGATTTGCATTTTTCGAAAATAGAAAACATTCCAGCAATAAATTTAAATATAAAATTACATATCAAATTAACATCAATCAATAAAAAAAATGTAACATTCCAGTGCCTTTTGAATGAATTATGCCTGCAACATAGAAAAAGGAAATAGATTAATAATTATAAAACTAATGATATTACATAAATATAAAATTAAAAAAAATGACAAAGTAAGGATCAATACAGCATGAGGGTCAATACAGCAGTAAATGCCAAATTAATTATGAAATTAAAAAAATGCATATTCAGACGGAATATAAAATCAGATTCAATTTTTGGTGAGCATCAATCACGGAATTTGATGTTTTACTGAAATTTAGATTGTATTAGGTTTGTAATACACATGGTTTAAAAATCAGGTTGATTTTTTGGTGAGCATCAATCATGGAATTTGAGGTTTAAGTGAAGAATATACACAATAATACACTCATTAATCATGAATTTGATTCAATTTAATAATTTTGACTTAATACAATATACACATCAATTTTCCAGCAAAAAACATGGAATTTAATATTCGTTATTTCCACTATAAATACAGTGTCATTTTGTTCATTTTGTAAGCACCATCACTTCACAAATTTTCTTTGAAATACTCTCAAATATACTCTCCAATCTCCAAATGGCTACTTATTTTGATAATCTTACTTTTCTTGCAAAGAACAAAAACAAAACAGCAATTTTGAGATTGATTCGTTTTTATCCCAAGAAAAAAGGATCAAGCCTAGAGTTTGTTTTCCATGATGTCAAGGTTATTATATTTTTGTCTACATATCTTCGATTTTTCATTTATTTTTTTTATACTACAGTCCATAAAGTTTGATTTTCTGTGTATAGGGCGAACACATCCATGCCTCCGCACCCGACACCTTAGCAACAAACTTTGAAATGTGCATAAATGGCGAAGGGAGTACTTTTGCGATAAAGCATTTCAGCGTGGGAGTTGATCTTTACATGTACAAGACTACTCCAAAAAATGACAAAATGGTGTTTGATGAACACACTGAAATTAAGGAGATTTTTGATGAAGACTACCCTCGATTCATGTTCGATTTCAAGGATTTCGGTGATTTATGTGATCCAGCAAGCATTGACTCATCAAGGCTTATTGGTAATGTTAATATAGTATAAATATTTATATAATTACAATTTTTATATTATACTTTTTATAATCGATCAATGCCTATTGAATTGTAAATGTTATTGGTCGAGTTGTTTACTATCAAAGTGTACAAACTGCAATTTCTGCGGGTGTTGAAAAGAGATATATAGATGTTCTTCTTGAAGATGTTAGGTAAGTCTAAATTATTATAATTTAGTAATATAAATTATCATAATATAGATACTGTTCTAATTTTATATATTTTTTCTATTGTGATTTTTATAGAGGCTGCCAGTTAGTTTGCACCTTATGGGAGGATTATGTTGATGTTTTACTTGAGGCATTCAAGAATCCTTTGACACCCACTGTCAAAATTGTAATCATTCAAATGTGCCGATCAAAAGCTATGCATGATGGTAAATAGCTAATTAGTTATTAATGTTTCAAATATTTTTCTGCACATTTATATTATATAATATTAATGACTTTTTTAGGCTCTGTGAGAATTGCAGACGCCTATGAGGCAACGAAGATGATTTCTCAGTGTGATCTACCCGAGATTGTAGAATTCAAAGAGAGGTGATTAATTTTAAGAGATTAAAAACAAATTATTTATTTGATTTATGTTTTCTATCTTATTTTTTTTTCTATTTTGGTCACTTAAGGTATATCTCCCACAAACGCCCAACCGAATCGTCAATGGAATATGTTAAATCATTCATGTCGAGCGTGTGTGACGATTTGCAGTCCGGTTTGGCTCCAATGAGAAGTCTTGCCGAATTTAATGCTTTAGAAGAGGTAACCACCGTACAAACTTTTTATGATTTTTTTATTAAATATATGTAATACATAATGTTATGAATAATAATATATTTTTGTTGTTCAATTGTTTCCAGGATAATGTGTCTTGGATTTATGGCACAATTTTTGAAGTTGACGGTAATTGGTTTTTCAACTCTTGCCCGACATGTGTTAGAAAGGTCGAAAGAAAAGGTGAAAATTTTTGGTGCAACAATTGCAAAGATGAAATACCCTTTGCAATTCTTAGGTATGCATACATTCATAATAAGTATTTAATTTCAATGACGCTTTTATTATACTACACATTTTTTGAATTTAATTTACACATTTTCTAGGTACAAATTGCACTTAACAATTTTTGACGAAACCGGAGTAATTCGAGTACTTTGCTGGGACAAAGTAGCAAGAGAATTAATTGGACTCTCATGTGAAGAAGTTGTTACAGAGATGTTGAAGGTTTGGAGAATAATATACTATTAATTTAATTTTAATTAATGTTAAAGAGGGTATTTATTTTCAACATTATTAACAATATATTACTACTTTATTTTTATAACGGCAGCATGAAGACGGGTCTGATTTGCCGCCGGCACTGGAGAATCTGATGTTCAAAGACCTTTTGTTCAAGGTTGGAAAGAAGAAGGGTCAATTAGGGGTGTACAACGGAACTTTCACTGTCTCCAGAATCACAACTGATCCAATTTTAGTGCACAGATTTGGTGTTTTAACAAATCCTCCAAAGGTTGATGTTAATTTATATAGGTTATGTTTTAACATTACTTTATATCAAATTTTTATGTTTGAGGATATAATTAATTTATCTATTCCACAGGAAGCTGATTACCAATTGGAAGATGAAGTGAACAATCCAAAGAATGCAAATTTTGAAGATCCTTCTACCTCTTAGTGGAACGCTTGTTGAAGTTTGTTGGAGTTTGAGATTCAGTACAAGAGGCTATCAGTGGAACGCTTGAATTTTCACCTCGAAAACGAACATCCTTGCTACTACGATGATGAAGTTCCGATCGATCAAGTGGTTCAAAAAAAATAAAAAGCCCGTTACCAAATTCTTGGCTTGGATGGAGGCCAACAAGAAGTATCCCGCTGCCAGAGAACTGACTTATGTTGAGGCTCCCACTAAATTTACGTGGCATTCAGAAACGAATAGTTGGGAGCCTAGGAAAGGAAGCAATCGGATTGCGCGTTTGTACTTCGTCCCCCCCGGAGCTGGAGATATATTTTACTTGAGGTGCCTTCTCAATGTTGTTCGAGGAGCAACATGCCATCGTGACTATATGAAGTTGAATGGCATCCAACACGCTTCGTATCGCGACGCGTGTTTTGCTCTTGGTTTGGTGGAGGACGACAAGGAGTATATAGAAGGCATTATTGAGGCAAGCCAATGGGCGAGCGCAAGTTCATTGAGGAGCCTTTTTGCGACTCTTCTTTCATCCGATACTCTCGGTAGACCGGAGTTTGTGTGGGACGCCTGTTGGCATTACCTATCGGATGACATATTATATAATCGTCGGAGGCTTCTACACCACCCAGGTAACAAATTCAATTTTTTTTTATTTATTTTATTAATTTTTTTATGTTTTATCTTTCTTCTTATTATTTTTTTTAATATAATTGTTTCAGAATTGGTCTTGTCCGATGAGGAAATTAAGAATCTCGCTTTGGCAGAGGTCGAAAAGATTTTGCGACGCCGTGGGATGAGTTTACGCGACTATGGTACAATGCCGTTTCCTGTTCTCGATCGTAATGAGGCGTCAACGAACAGACTTGTGATGGACGAGTTGAATTACGATCGTCGTGCACTATCGATTGAGAATGAGGAATTGGTTGCCAACATGACTGCTGAGCAGCGCAATGTTTATGACTCGATTATGGACTCAGTCTACTGTACCCACGGCCGCATTTTTTTTGTTTATGGTTACGGCGGAACCGGTAAAACTTATATCTGGAGGGCGTTGTCTTCTGGTTTGAGGTCAAAGGGCGAAATTGTGTTGAACGTTGCATCGAGCGGTATCGCATCTCTTTTGCTTCCCGGTGGCCGGACTGCGCATTCACGATTCAGAATCCCGTTAAACCCAACCGAAGAGTCAACATGTGACATTAGCCAGCAGAGTCCACTGGCCGAACTGATTATACGATGTCGACTCATCATTTGGGACGAAGCCCCGATGATGAATAAGTATTGCTTCCAGGCTGTTGACAACACCTTACGAGCCTTAATGCAAGTAGTTGATCCATCGAGGAAAAATCTCCCTTTTGGCGGCAAGTCTGTTGTATTTGGTGGCGATTTCAGACAGATACTCCCTGTTGTGCCTAAAGGCACTCGGAGTGACATAGTGAATGCGACCATCAATTCATCTAACTTATGGCGGCACTGTACCATTCTGAGACTTACTCAGAACATGAGGCTTCGAAGCCTTGGTGAGGGTGTTGAGTACAATGAGTTGAGGCTTTTCTCGGATTGGCTTGCAAGCATTGGCGACGGTACTGCCGGTGGATCGAACGATGGATGTGCTGAAATTAACATTCCCGACGATATTCTTCTGAAATCGGAAGGGGATCCTATCGCTTCTATTGTTGAGAGTACGTACCCAATGTTTAGGAGTTCGGGCGATGATCTTAGCTACCTGAAGGACAGAGCCATACTCGCTCCCACCGTTGATGTTGTTGAGTCTGTCAATGAATACATGAGCTCATTGAACTCCTCCGAGGGAAGAACTTATTTAAGTTCAGACACCGCTTGCAAGTCAGATGCTGGATATGACTATCTTCACGATCTTCATACTCCTGAATTTCTCAATGGGATTAAGTGCTCGGGACTTCCCAATCATAAATTGCACTTGAAGGTTGGCACTCCAGTGATGTTGCTCAGAAACATTGATCACTCCATGGGTTTGTGCAACGGTACTGTTACCTATAAAATTCGATATATTGTCTGTATTTTATTTGATTTCTATAAAAATTCGAGTGATATGTTTTTTGTTGTCCAAATCTTGAGTTCGACAGGTACTCGATTGGTTATTACTAAGCTCAGCAGCCATGTCCTAGAATGCAGAATTTTAACTAGTGCCAGAGCTGGTGATAAGGTTCTTATTCCTAGGCTCACAATCATACCATCTGATTTGAGGGTACCGTTCAAGTTTCAGCGCAGACAGTTCCCTCTCATGGTTTCCTATGCTATGACAATCAATAAGAGTCAAGGGCAATCACTGTCGCACGTCGGCCTATTATTGAAGAGTCCTGTATTTAGTCATGGACAGTTATACGTGGCGCTTTCTAGAGTAACGGGTCGGAGGGGTTTAAAGATCTTGATTTGTGCTGATGGAGATGCCGATGATAAAAAAACCACGAACGTTGTACATAAAGAAGTATTTAATAATATTTAGTTTTTTCAATGATGATGTTATGATTTTGAATATTAAAACATAATACACTTATTTAACTTATAATTTGAATATTAAAGTGCTTTTTTTTAATGATTATGTTATGATTTTTACTGACGTTTTTATTTTATATTATTTTTTTTCTTTATCGTATAGCTCTCCGTGCAAATGCACGGGTTGCAACTAGTATATATAATTGTTGGCAAGTTTCAATAAATTTTATTCAGCCAGCAATTAATAGAAATAGAACTTCATTTAATAAAAATCTTTATGATAATAAATTTTATTCAGTCAGCAATTAATTAAAATAAGACTTCATTTAATTAAAATCTTTGTGACCAACATTCAAATGACAGTTACACAAGTAAAACGTTATTATCATTAATTTTTTATTTTGTAACTGTTTTACAAGATTTTAAATTTTCTGAATATACAATATTAAATTATTTTACAGCTGTAAATAATTTATATTTATATTATACATTTACATAAACTCAGAATTTTAAAATGTAATACATATATACTTTATCTAATTAATTTTTTAAATATTATATTCGTACATGTAATATATAAATTTTTATTTTTCTCTGTACAAATTTTGTTTTACTAGTTATTATTTAACATAAACACGTTTTATTATCTACTCTCTGTTTCTCTTCAAGACACTACGTACAAATTTTTCCAAATAAAAAAAAATACATATATGTAAATAAATTTTTGGGTGTTGAGGAGGAATAATTGCTCTCATTTTCATCCGGAATTTTTAAATTCTGGATTGATTTCCCAATTGAGATTTGGAGTTTCAATTTTTTTGCCCCAATTTTTTTTTCTAAACCTTGAAGGGTTTTTGACGCAGCGAAACCTCTTCGTGTTTTATATGATGGTGATCGCGATGGGGTTGTTGCAGTCTGAAGATTTTACCGAAGAACAATATGGTCTCTAGTAAAGCGCTCTCGCTTTAATCAAGTTTGCTTAATTTGGTTGTTTTCTGAAAAAAAAAGGTTCTTTTTTTGTGTGTTTCTCCGAGTTGCTGGGCTTTTAATTTGTTCATCATTGGGTTTCGTTGTAAATCTTCTGTTGATGTACTCATGCGTGTATGTATATGTAATGTGCTTTTATGGGGTAGCTGATAAATTCACTGCAAACGGATTGATATGTGTTTTGGTTACAGTGGAGCTCCATGACAGGGATTGAGAAATTCCTTTTCACGCGTTTGGAAGAATTAATTGTTGAGAATATGTGAACTTAGATTCTGGGTTTCTCTTTTTTACAACTCTATAACCTAGTTGTTCGTTTTCGGTTTACGGTATATCATGTGTAATGTTTCCTCATGATTTGGAGTTTGGTTTTCAGCAGTTGAGCTCTGACAGCCATGCTGTTTCAGTCCCACCCTCTCAGTATAATCCACTCGATGAGCCAAGTCCTCTGGGTTTGAGGCTCAGAAAAAGTCCATCATTATTGCATTTGATCCAGATGAGGCTCTCTCATGGGGGTAATGTTGGTGTTTCAGTGGCCCCGAGTGAAACTACCGATTGTGGAAGCAAGAAAGATGTGAAGGGCTTTTCTGCTCCCTCAAGTGCTGCTAATGACAAGTTGAAGGCTTCGAATTTTCTGGCTTTGTTGTTGAGAATAGTAGCTGGGAGGTATTTTTCTGAACTTTTAACTTTACATGTTCTTATGAATCAGCATGCTCCACCTAAATGCTTCTGGTGGGTTGTTTGTTAAATTTGGTCAAAATGAATAATCTCATGTTCATGTAGCAGTAGAGTTAATGAGGTGTTTGGTTAGTCCTGGTCACAAGTAAGTTCAATTGGTTTATCATTTAGTTTAAAAATTGTAATTGTATTCTGATCTGTTAAATGCCTTCCTTGTTGGTGACTCTGGGTTTTTATGGCAGTATGTATCGACATACGAAGGTGACCTGGTGGCCTAGTGTTATTTTGCTAAGCATAAACTTGTCTGGGAAGTTCTTGAATGTGGTCTCAAGAGAAAAATAGAAATCCAGTGGTCTGATATCATGGCCCTAAAAGTCGAGTGTCCTGATAATGATCCTGGCACTTTAACCATCATGATACATTTACCTTTTCCTTCATTTTTTCGGTTATTAGTAGTGGCACAATAGTACACATTTTAATTTAGTGGGTTATTTAACATAGTTTGTTTTAATCTTGTGAGCTCCAGCTAGCTCGGCCTACCTTTACACGAGAGACCAATCACAACCCAAAAAGCACACTCTGTGGCAGGCAACCACTGACTTCACCGATGGACAGGCTAGCTTAAATAAGTAAGCTTTAAGGTATCCTTGTTTTTCCCCCAATATTCGTTATATTTTCCTTGGTTTCTATGTCGCTTGACTGAATGCGCCAAAGTTCACTCGTATTTTTTTGTCACTGTAATAATGGTTAGTCTCATGATTTTAGAACCAACATACCAATTTTTTTGTCACTGTAATAATGGTTAGTATCGTGCACTTGCCCCGGATTGCTTCCCTTCCGAAATTTCCAAACTTATTCGGGATAGATGAAGATGACGAATACGACTGGCCGAACCAGTTTTTTTATTTTTTATTTTTTATTTTTGCCGAGATGTGTGTGTTGTGTGTTTTGATTGGTTGGTAAGGATGGACTATTGACAGGATTCTGAAATTGAGGTTTGTGAAGAATCCTGCTAGTTATTAGTTATAGGAAAAGGAATGTAAACTCCTTTCCAGATTTTTTTTCAATGCAAAAATAAATGGCTTCTTTATGATTTTTGCTTGGGTTTATGTTTATACATAGGTAGAAGAATGCTACACATTATAGCATTGACATTTGCTGTTTCAATCATGCTGCAACAACATAAACATTGCAAAATTTTTGACATAATAATATGTTCAAGAACCTGGAAGAAATGTTCTTCTTGTGCATGAAAAGTTTAGCACTTACTTGCAAGAAATCTACTCTCTAATCTAATATATCGGAGTCAGTATTCAACTGCACTTAGAGATCATATATGTATTTATTTCATCCAGCAATTTTATGTATAAGCACTTGTGTTAAAACCATAGTTTGAAAAATCAGATCGGACCGACCGTTCCGACTGGTTGAACTGGACAAAACCGGCCAAAAATCGGTCCGGTCAAACCAGTTGAACCGGTTCAGATTAAAAAAATAAATCTTTTTACATTGAAAAATATTTTTAAGATAAACAAAAAATTACATATTTAAATATAAAGGGATTATATAATTAGTTACTTTTAAGTATTTCAATGTTTTAAATTCTCTTAAAATTTAATTAACAAAAATTTTTATATAAATTTTATTATACAAAATATTATATATGTTTAAAAATACTAATACATTAAATAGCGGTCCAACCGAATTAACCACTAGTCGGACCACTGAACCAACCAGTAGCTTGACCGGTTTGGTGGCCGGTCTAGTTTTCAGAAACTTGGTTAAAAATACAAGTTGGAATATGATTGTTGGAAAACGTAATTGAGCTTGACTCAATCAAACCAACGTTCATCTCGACTCGACTCGTTTGCAACTTATTTTTGGTAAGATCTTTATATTTATTTCATAGTAACTTATTTACACAATTCAAAAGAATATTATAAAGATTTGATTAAATATGTCATCATCTATGGTTGTTGTTATTAATTTAATTAAATATATTCACCATTAAGAAGTTCTTAAAATATTTAGTAAAATAATCTGAATAACTATGTTTGAATCATACTAACCTAATTAATAATTTAGATATTAATAAAACTTTTAAAATGTAGTTAACTTAACCATAAAAAGTAAATATCCATTGAATATATCATTTGTGATGATTATACTATTAAAAATTACACCAATGTATTAATAAAATTAATTTTTAATGGTCGCGAAAAAAATTCAAAACTACAAAGTTCACCTTAGAAATATCCATGTACATTACAAACTATCTTGAAGTGATCCAAATATCAATAAATTCTGGTATAAGCGCATTAATGCAAGTACTCAATTTGTTGATTATTTTATTGTCTTAATTTTCTTGTCGGTTGTTGACGGGCATTTCCGGTCAACGGTAAAAGAAACAAGTAGTAGAAATATAGGATGAAAAAATAACAAAGAGACACGGCTTAATTATGATTTTATTATCAGATCACTGGGTCGGCCTCTCGTACGAGATCGGCGCTTGTGATATCCTTACAATTCTTACCGAGATTTAGTATAAGTCTAGAGAGAGAAAGTAAAGAGAGAGTCTGAAAGTTGGAGATTCAACCACCCAGAAATAAATGAGGGGGGTTGCTATTTATAGTGATCTTAAATGTGGCACTGTTCAGGTACTGGTCACTGGTCTTGTCGTACAGTGTGCTTGCAGAGCAGTCCGGCGTCTCCCTGTCAGATATTAAATGCGATTTGAGGTTTTCTTAATCACTGCATGCCAGGTATTTAATGCACACATGGGGGTCATTTAATGCTGGCAGGCTTTATGTCTAGGCTAATAGATGTAGACTTGCAGGCTACGACGCCCTGTCCAATCGCCAATGATTACTCTCCAAGTGGCATTATTATATTACTATCGGACCCTGCGCCGTTCTCTGGGGCAACCGCTCTGAAGCTTCAGGTCGGCTCCAGAGCTCATTCTGCTCTTCTGGCCCTCTGGAAACTTACTTCAGCCCGCCACCTATTCTAGGTCGGCACTGGTGTTTCGAACGGCAGAAATATCGGACTCAGGAATGGACCCACAGATATGTCATGGTCAATTAACACGAATTCAGCTCGGCACTTGCACACTCGACCGGGTCTTCGGTTCGGCTTTTGGAGTCGTCTTTTGTCCGGTTCCCTTTTGAGGCGAAATCGGATATCAACATACAGACCCCGAGCTCAGAGGAGGTGCTTCCGTATCCCCTTTGAGGGCGTTGTTTCGAGATGCACCCGAGTTCCCTTGCCCCGATTACAGCTTGATAGTATGCGAGCTCGGTGTGTGTGTTTAACTTGGCAAAGTTTTTCCTTCTGTCGTCGCGCATTTCCTCCCTAGATCTGAAGCGACGGGTCATTTAATGCGACATGCCTGTTACGCTTCTAGTCGGTCCTAGAGAGTCGCACCGTTTCAGAACCTTTCCACGTGGCGTCATTTGGTTCGTCCTCGCCGGACCGCGTGTCGCTTCAGTGGGCGGCGGTTTTTAGAGACGCGGAATATTCACGCCGTGGTATCTGGGCCGTTGGATCGCATCCTCTCTAACCGTCGAATGACGTCTCATTTTTGAAATTCAAAAGTCGTGCCACGTGTCAAGCTATGATTGGTCAGCGGCTTATATATATATGTATCTTCGTCTTCCTCGAGAAGCTTTTACCATTCCTAAAATTTTTTCGAGCGACCGAGTTTACCGAGCAAGAATTCAAAGCAATTTTCGCGATTTTCCGAACTCCTTCGGCGACTTCCACACCGGTAATTTCATTTTCTCAAAATCTATCTTCTTATTTTCCAGTTATGTCGAGTTCTTCTGGTTTCGCGGTGAATCTCCCCGTCGGGGATGAGGGGTATGCGGCGGAGGAGACCAGTGAGTTGGTGGTTTATTCTCCTCCAGCGGCGGAGGCGGCACAGCTGCTCAGAGTCACGCCGATTTCGGCCGTCCGAGTGACGCCGGTAGCAGCGGCGGTGGGCCTGCGCCGAGAGGGTCTCCCCGACTTCCCCACAGTCAAAATTATCGATCTCGGATCTAGTCTGTCTGATACCGAGGAGGTCGAGAAAGAGACCGGCACCGCTTCCCCTGAAGACTCCGATGTCGAAGCGGGACTTGTCGACGAGACTCTGCGGGGTGACACCCATGGGCGAGAGCGGGTTCCTATGGATCGCGAGGATGTCGAGATCGATACCGCGGTTGAAGATGCGACCACGCTCTCCCTGGGTGTTGGTGCTGCCCTCCGCGAGTGTGGCTATCCGTCGCTTCGGCAACTGCCTGGACAACCGCATCGGTGCTAAGGGACGCTGACCTAGCCAAGCTGAGGGGAAAGGCTTGCTTTGGTGCCGGGGTGAGGATTTTTGCCCCTTATGCGGGTGAGCGTATTCATTGTCCCCCGCCGGGCTACATCGGCGTTTACCGCGTGAGTATCCTGCTCGGCCTCCGGTTCCCGTTGCCAGGGGCTTTGAATGACGTCCTCAATGACCTCGACATCGGCAGCAGCCAGCTCCTGCCGACAGTTTTTGCTCGGCTGGTCAGTCTCATCGTCTTGTTCCGTCAGCAGGACTGGGCCGACCCGACTAGTGACGATGTGAGAGCCCTGTTCGTCTTTAAAAAATTCGGGGAGACCGACAATTACTACAACTCAGTCTCTCCAGGCGTGGACAGATCCTTGATCTATAAGGTTCCCGAGTCGCTGCACGGCTACATGCTGGAGTGGTTCTGGGTCGGTGGCGAGTGGAGGACGCCCGATGCAACATGGCACCCGTCCACTGAGTTCATCTCTGGCACATGTGAGTTGTACTTTTTATTCGCTTTTATCCTTCTGATTAGTTGTCTTTCCATGCTAACAGGTCGGTATTTGCATTTCAGTCCACAATCCTCGCGTTGATCCAAGCGACGATCTGGTCACGAAGATCGAAACCTTATTGGGACTTGCAGAGGGGAAGAGATATTACAAGGATCTTGTTGCAGAGGAGAGTCTGATCCTGCATGGTCTTTTCCCCGAGTACAACAGCAAGTCTTTCCAGCCCTGTATTATTTTCGTTTCAGACACTTTTCTTTTCATATGCGGACTTATTCAGACTCTTTTCTTTTCATATGCGACGACTCTTATTTTGTTTTCTTTGAGCAGTGTACTACTCTCTCTTGCATGAGTGTGGGTTCAGCTCGGTGAAGGAAGCAAACAAACACGCCTGCGCCCATCCGAACTCGCTAAAGCAAAAAGAAAGATGGCCGGCCGCATGGACTTCTTGACGAAGCAAAGCAAGAAGAAAGCTCCGACGTCGAGCTCGGTGGGGACTTGGGGTCGCATGCCGCCGAACCCAGTAGCTGAGGACGTTCTTCCTCGGGAAGCCGAGATATCCTCCGGCTCGGTGCCAATGGTCCCCGACTCCGTGTAGGGGGGCCGGGCTAGCGGCCAAGGAGGCCGGACCAGTGCCCGTGAGATCGGCACCGGCCGCGGCCGAGGCATCACCGGCCAGAGCGCGGTCTCGCGACAAAAGAAGCGTCGGCTCCTCGCAGAAGATCCGGAGGAGCCTGAGGAGGTGGAAGCCGAGGCGGGGAATGAGGCCCCGCCGCCTCTGAAGAAAAGTAAGACGGCTGAGGTCGAGAAGACCGCCCTTGCGGGCGAATTGTCGGCCTTCGTTCATCAGGTCGGGTCCTCCACTTACATTCCAGTGAACCCGAGCCGGAAGGCCAGCCTCTCCAAGAGCCTTGAGCGGTTCCCCGACCGATGGTTCATTGACTCGAGGTCGGCAATTCCGTTCGACTTGCCAAACCCCTACCATCTACCGGGGGAGGTAATGTCCGCGGCGATCGCCATGATGACCGCCTGGACCCCAGTCGCCGTGACGGCGGTAGCCATGCTCTCCCCGACGCAGCTTATCCACCACTTGATGGCGACCATGGGCTGGGCCATAGTCGAGCTGGTGCATGCTGCCGGGGTCATGCAGAGGAAGGTGGCTGCCCGCAACAAGGCTGAGGAGGACCTCGCCACTTCTAAGGGCCGGATTAACGAGCTGAAGGACGAGACCAAGTGGGTTTTGATGTTGGAGAACGAGCTCGTCCTTCAGCAAGGCGCGGCCGCCAAGGCGGAGAAGGTGGCCGCGGAGGCCGAGAATTTGGCCCGTGAGAGGGCGGCGTGGGCCAAAGAGAAGGCCGAGCTGGAGAAGCGACGGGTCGCTGAACTGTCCGAGAGCGAGAATCGCCGGGATGAGGAGGTGGCCGACCTCGAGGTGAAACATAAGGCCGACCTGGCCCACCTCGCCGAGCTGCACACTGTCGAGGTTGCCGCACTCACCAAGAAGCACGAGAAGCAAGTCTCCGAGCTGGCGGACTATGGAAAGAGGTTGACCTCCCAGGTCTGTCTCTTAAAAGAGGCCGCAAAGCAAATTGATGGTGAACCCATAGCTCTCCCTCCACCGGCGACCTTTGACGAGGTTCAAGCCCAGTACTTCGAGGAGATGAAGGAGAGTAGGGACATGGCGGCGGCCTACAACCTCTACTGTCTATTCTAGGGGCTCGATGCCGGGGTGCTTTCTCTTGAGGACTTCAGAGCCATACTCTCCGAGAAAGCGGGCCGGTATGACCTAGATTTCGAGGGCCAGGTTTGTGAGGTCGATGCTGATGAGGCTGTCGTGGTTCGGCGCCGTCCCTTCTACGGAAACGTGGCGCCTGGCCCCCGGGGAGCTCCTCCCCGATTATGAGTCGTTCGGGCCCTAGGTTGAAGACAAATCTTGCATCCAGGGAGCTTTCGGCGGTACGTGCGACGTCGGACGGCGGCGAATCTCTGGACGATGGAAAGCTCTCGTCGAGACGATCGTCTGGGTATGCAGTGCACCTTAATCGAACCTCCGGTTAGTTCTGTACGATAAAATATATTTCGTCTCGGTTTACCTACAGATCATCTACCGTATTACTCAATACACCCTTCTTCAACTTATATCAGTGGAGCAACAAGAAGAAGATAAAGCTCAAATGAGATCGAAAGAGAGAGAGAGAGAGAGAGAGGCGTGGGGCGTGTCGTGTATAATTATGACAAATGTCTTCTCTTCTCATGAGCTTAATGATGTATATATACGCTACAGTAGGGACCCTTAGGAGATTAGGAAAAGGCTCATTAATTAATTAGACTAACTGTAGGCCAAGCCCACTCCTCTAATTAATTAAATAATATTAATGGACCACCAACATTATATTATTGCACTCCCTTTCCTAGCCCAAATTACATTTAAGACTCCAATAATAATTACTCGATTTACCTCCCCACGTTTAAGATATAATGTCCATTAATTAATTCGATTACTGACAATTAAGAATTAATTAATTTATTATTATTTTACCGAAGCTAGCGCTCGTTCATCACGCTCTTATTATGCCGGAACTTAATCCACCTGCAGGGTTTAGCATAACAATCCTTCATGAACTCACTCCGGGGACATCATCAAACTAACACACATGGTGACCGTAAATATCCTAACAACACATCCTATATATAATAATATTACCCAAAACAGTAGGAATGTTAATCCAGCAAACTGAACCTCACCCATGTGAATCAAAGTTATATATACTATATATATCTGCCCGTTTAATATCTTACGGGTTAAGAGAACGCAGTAATTAACCGAGGCCTAGTTTATTTACGACGATCATTATAAAATGTACTTCTCCACTCTGGGATCCTGTTCAGTACATAAATGTACTAGTGCAACTAATCAGTCAAGAAAAACTGTACAGTTGACACTACAACCGTTCGGATGGGTTGTTCATGTCCATCTAGGTTGTGAACAACTATTCTTATTCGCAAGTAACTGATAGAGTGATCTTCGGTTCCCCCAATGACGACCCACCATATCTAAGTGCAGAACAACAGAACGTAGAACTTGTTTAATCTAACATGATTCTCATTCATAAAGGGCAAATGTGTAATAACATGAAAAGTCAAGCTTTCAGTATATAACACTAACAATCTCCCACTTATACTTAAAGCTTTCGCTTTTACAGTATAGTCTTATCAATCCGTTATTCTAAAAGACCTATGTCGATCCTATTGTCATGCTCATTACTCTCATTCCTTCCACGTGTTTGATGAAGACCTTCCCCGGCAAACTCTTCGTGAAAGGATCAGCTAGGTTGTCCTCTGACGCAATCTTGGCAACATCAACATCTCCTCTACCAACGATATCCTGAATCAGATGGTATTTGCGCTCTATGTGTTTGCTTGCCCTGTGAGCTCGAGGTTCTTTTGAGTTCGCTACTGCTCCACTGTTATCACAGTACACGTTGATACCACGTGGCAAACTCGGCATAACCTCTAAGTCCACTAGGAAGTTCCTGAGTCACACTGCCTCTTTCGCTGCCTCTGAGGGTGCTATGTACTCGGCTTCCATGGTAGAGTCTGCCACGCATTTCTGCTTAGCAGGGCTCCATTTCCCCAGGTAAACATATAACCTGAGATTGACTTACTTTCATCCTTATCTGACTGGAAATCGGAATCACTGTAACCCAGAGGAAACAAGCTGCCTGCACGGTAAACTAACATGTACTCCTTAGTCCTTTTCAGGTACTTGAGTATATGCTTCACCGCAGACTAATGTTCCCGTCCCAGATTACATTGATATCTAGCTACCATGCCAACGGCGTAGCTAATATCCGGCCTAGTACACAACACCACATACATAAGACTTCCTACTGCCGAATCACCCTTTTACTATTATCTAGTGTTTTTTGTTGCTAATTGGGTGCATTTTAACTTGGTACTTATTTTAAATTTTATTAGTTCCTATATCTATTTGACTAATTTTATAAATTTAAAGCGCGCAAAATTCACTTAATTATTGGCTTAATTGAGGTCGGCTCTGCACAGTCGGAATCCAACTACTACTAGTACTACTACTACTAATAATAATAATAATAGTAATTATAATAATAATAATAATAATAATAATAAATAATAAGTGTTTGAGGACAATTATTTTGACATAAGCCTCTCCGGAAACAGAGGAAGTGCACATTCAAGCTTTTGCAAAACGCACAAGTTAACTTCAAATATTGATTATGTAATAATATATGCATATATTAGTTCAAATATCATTGTCCTTTGACTCCTCACTACCATTATTATTTTACAACTAAAGCTAGGAAGTGGATACAGTATGCAGCCATGGTTACCATTATATTTATACCCCGAGAATTCATATCATACACTCGCCCTTCTCCGGAATAAAAGGGATTTCCTCTTTTTTTTTTTTTCTAATTTTTTGTTTCCTTTTAAATGATATATGAGAAAGGAACTTTGTTATCAACTACCGATAAAAAATTTTGTGCATTACATATTTTTTTATGAACATCATTAGGAAATCATACAAAAATTGAATATAATGTATTAAGGAAGTTACTCTAGTATAGCTAGGTAAATACATTTAGCAGAAAAGTCATAGTTTGTAATTTGTAATACACTAGGATTCCTTAATGAATTATGATTTTAGAAAAGTCAGAGAATTTAATATAGACAAATTAAAACCAGAGATTGAAATATGATCCGGAGATATTATTTGACTTGTTAGACAAAGTATTCGAGCGATTGTATAATTGTACGAATTGTAAGGAGAGGCTTCGGTGCCATCTGGTTGTCCCCCACTATTTCATTAGTTTTGACTAATTAATAACTACTGTTGGGATGATTATAGAAAAAACCATGAGGTTTCATTAATTTTGAAATTATGAAAATATCATTATATTTTGACTATGTATATATATATATATATATATTAATCTTTCGTTCCCGTTTTCTACCACATGTTTACGGATTAATATGTTTATAATTAAGTGGAGGTATACTCACGTAACTACTGGTAGACACGTCTTAAAAGCTAAAAGTGAAAGAGGATATCCTATATGTCTTCACCCATAAATCCAATTATGAGTTGACATTGCATTAATTTTCTAACGCATCAATATAAACTAGTTAAATTCTCTCTTCATATAAAATAGTATGTCCATAATATGTAGAAATTGAATTATTAAATTATAAATCAGAAAGGTTATATGTTAATCTCATCATGTTGATTGGTTATTTTTCAAATAAAAATACATACATGAATTAATTTTAATTTGCTTTAATTAATATTTAAAGCAAGATATTGTGTCAATAATTAGGAGTGAGCATAGGTCGGTATCGTTCGAAGATTGAGAAATCTCTGGAACCGTACCAAAAATCGGGACGATTCGGTTCAGAGATTTTTATTATTCAGTTCGGTTCGGTATTCGGGATTATCAGAATAGTTCGGTTCAGATCTTCGGAGATTTCTTAACTTCTTAAATTTTTTTGGAACGGCTACCTAGTTGTATTTTAATTTTTATGTGCTTTAAAAAAAATGTCATTCATCAATACTTTATCATATTAAAGAGTTTATTTTAAAATCAATGTAGACTCTGAATTTTAGTTATTTAATTTTTATATGCTTTAAAAAAATCAACATTCATCAATACTTCTTCATGTTAAATATTTTATTTTGAAATCAACTTTAGAAGTAACTCTAAATTTTAGTTAAGACTAAATTAATTTGTGCAACTAATATTAAAAATTTAAAATTTAAACAAAATATAATATAGTTTTTCCTTAAAATAATATTCTTTAATCTGTCATACCATTTTAAATAAATTTTTTATAAGAGGAAAAATTCAATTGTAGATCAAATATTGCTAAGCATGAAATTTAAGTGAAGCTTAATTGTTATTACTATATTTTATTTGCATTTTAAAATTTTTTAAATTATACAGGATCAAAGTTGACATAAAATATGTTAATAACACACATCTAATGTTATAAATCGGCTCTTAATTTCAGTTGTTCGGTTCGGTACGTATGGCACGATTCGGTTCGGTTCTCGGTACAAATATTTGTAAAATCTCTAGAACCGTACCAATTATTTTTTCAATTCAGTTCGGAGAAAGTCAAAGGTCAACAGTTATTTTTCGATTTAGAGTGATTTCCATTTAGTTTTCAGAACGGTAATTAGGAATTCTTCGATTCCCATGCTCAGCTCTAGTCAATATACATATATATTTGTTATGCTAAATATGTACGTCTACATAACAATAGTTCTATCATTGCATATTAGATGCTGTGGTAAACTCATATATCACTTTTGTCCACCTGATTTTTTGTCTCACATTTTTAAGGAACAAAACAACAAAACCCCAGTTATTACTACTAAATTTCCTATAAATTTTACGATTTACCCACTTATATATTCTTAATCTACTAATCATTTTACGATTTTTACAAAATTTCAGCTTGGCCCAATCATTAAATTTATTTTTCAGATACAATCATATTTTATAAGTTACTCCTTTTTCTCTCCAATTTTTAACCAAACAATATTATATATATAAAATAAAAGTCTTTTAAATACATTTCAAATCATACCAGCCCATTAGTAGTTCACTAATCACTTCCCATAGTCGTTGGTGGCATGCCACGACTTGGTAAAAAGTAAAAAAAAAAATACTCAGCACAGCACACATTTGAGTGATAATTAAGAAGAAACGCGTTGAAAAACTATATTTAATTTCTCCGGCGGAGGCAATTATACCAAAATCACTTTCACTTCATCGAAAACGATAGTTAACACGCGGTGCCCATGTTTTTAAGAAAATGCACTGGAAAGCAGTGAGATTACGTAAGCTTTATTAATATAATTATTTAAGCATAATAATGCAATATCATTTAATTAAAAATTGTCTGTACCTAATCAAAATTCAATGAAAACACCGAAAGTAAAATAAAATAAATTTCCAAGACTGTCCTCATAGTTACACGTTACTGAGTATTAGTTTCTATATAAGGGCGGCCAAAAATATCTAATATATTTGCATAAAAATATTTTTACAACTTACAACAAAATTGTTCCAAGAGTTGAATTTTTTTTTTTAATATTGTGTGCAACTCTCCTTATTTAGTATTGTGAAACTATGTTCAGATTGTCATATTTTACAAACTTTAAAACTTATTAATTGGTCCAAGAGTTGTACTAAAATTGTTTATTATTAGCGTGCAACTCTCCTTAATTAATTAGTATGTGAAACCATTTTCAGATTGTCATATTTTTAGCGGATAAAATTAGGTTAGCTAATGTGGTGCAATCAAATAGATTGTTGAAATCTTCGTTTCTTTTGACTTTAGTATTACATATGTCCAACAGTTTCCAATCAAACTAGTTGTATAAATACATCAATTTCCAACTCACACCTATACTTCCAACTTCACTTCTCATTCTAATTTACTTCTAATTTTGCTTAATTTGCAATAAAATCGAAGAAATAGAGGGATTGATTCTTACATATTTCTGATCCCGCATTTTTTTTTTCTTTTTAAATTATAATCAATCCCATATTGATTCCTCTATTTTGAAAATCCGGTCAGTTTAGAATTGTGTACTACTTTAGGTTTCCAATAAATATTATCTCTTATTTAGAAAGTGTCATTTCAACATCCAACTTCAACTACTTTGTTGAATTAAGTATGAGAATGCACAATAAGTTCTCCTATTTTTTTATTCTATCTATTCTTCTTCTATCTCTACTTGTTCCTAAATCGAATTGCAGACCACTGATCACCATTACTCCTGCAAGTGAAGAATCCGAGCAAATTGGAATATGGGCCCAATTTAATCCATTTTTCTTGAAGCATTTTAAGACAACATATGCAAATTTGGAGAAGAACAAAAATCCCAAAAAGATGCACGCTGTTGTCCGCAGGACAGTTCCTTCAGGGCCTAATCCTCTCCATCATTGATTTTTGTTTAAATCGAATAAACTTTGGATTTTTCTTTTCTATTATTTGTTTTAATTTTTTAAATTTTCGGGGGGTTTGGTTTTTAAGTTTGTAGTGGTCTCATAGGAACATTGTGATTTTTGTGCTAAAAAAGCATAGTTTGGATGTAAGATATATATATGTAATTAAATTTATAAAGTGAGATGGTTATGCCATTTATGATTATTAGCTAGGATTTCATGTTTAATGCATCAATGCAAAAAGATTGTGTAATGGTGTGAAATATGAAATGTATTATCGTACTTTATCATTGTTCAAAGTTAGGGCCGGCTCTGATATTTTTCGGGCCCATGAAGAAAGTTGGGTAATGGGCCATTTCTTTAATACATACATTGCATTTCCATTATAAAAACTTGGCGAAATTTTACATCTTTTTTTTTTTAAACGATAGATGCTAATATTAAACTGAACAAACGAACAAAGTCCGACTACAACAACGACTAAACCAAGGACTACCATGGGAGACGCACTCATCGAGTGGTCTAGAAACACAATCAACCAAAACGGCTAAGGCGGGGATGCACCCACCGCAACCTTACCCGTTACCCGAGACCAAACAGAACAACCAAGCTAACACAAACCAACCTAAATAGACCAAGNAGCATGCACTCCCACATACTCTTGCCATTCTCTCCACGCACCTCTTGCAATGACTTCTTCCGGCATCCATATTTTCTCAAACACCCACAAATTACGTGACCGCCAAAGCCACCATAAAATATATGTCGAAAGTTGAATGCGATCTTCCGCCACATCTGAGGATTCAATGGAACAAACACTATTTCACCAAAATTTAAAAGACCGCGTACCTTCTTGTTCTTCCTCCCATGCCACTGGACTCAATTTCCATACTCGCTTGGCTCGAGGACAATTGATCAGCAAGTGCTTCACCGTCTCCTCCTCTTCCCCGCACATCCTGCAAATATCGTCGATTTCCATTCCTCTTTGCCTAACATTATAGCTGACTGGTAGGGCGTCGTTGTAGCATTTCCATAAAAAATGCTTCAATTTG